TCCTGACGGCTGTACAAATAGGGCACTGGCATCTGCTTGGTTTCTGGTGAGGCCCAGGGAGCTCTTAGTCACGGTGGAAGGGCAGGGGAACAGGCATGTCACATGGCAAGAAAGGAAGCAAGAGAGGGAGGGAGGAGGCACTAGTCTCTTTTAAACAAGCAATCTTGTGTGAACTCATTACTGCAGGGAGGGCATTGAGCCCCTATGAGGGATCTGCCCCCATGACCCAAACACCTCCCACCAGGCCCCACCTCCATCATTGTGGATACATATCAACACGAGGTTTGGGGGACAGACATCTAAAATGTATCCTGGTGTGTGGTCCTGGCTCTGAAACTGCTTTTTGCCCAGGGTCTGTCATCTCTACTTGTAGACCCTTGGTGACACTTGCTGGCCTGACTTCCAACTCTTCCTAAAAGTACCTCCCACTTTTCTGCCTGTGTAGTTTCTGCTCATGCCATTGGCTTTGCTTAGGAGCTTTTCAGTTCTTCCCACCCTGCAAGGTCCAGCCAGGGCTGATGTCCTCTAAGCAGCTTCTGTAACTACTCCAGTGGAAAGTGCTCTTCTCTTCCTCCATATTAGAATGGTACCTACCTCTATATGAGCAGTCACAGCATGAACCTTAAATTATTTCTCACATTCTTTTCTTAAGCCACCAGTGTACCTTGTGTTTGTAGCCTGCGATTGCCAGGCCACTTCCATCTGGGGCTTTTGTGGAAAGGTAACAACGCGTATTGTATTTCTTGGGCTCCTGCTGAGGCAGGTCCCTCCACCTCCCTTGAGGTCACCCTTGTTTCTGAGAGTCCCTGGGGTGGCTTGTGTGTGGCCTATGCAGGGTCCCTTTCCTCTTGCCCTGACTCTGGCTGGTGGTGGGGGCTCCTGCTGAGGCCCCCATGCTCCCAGAGCTCTGGGAACTTGCTGCCCCGATGGCTGCCCAAGCCCAGTTGCACCAGGGCTGCACTGAGCCAAGGCTGCTCTGCCTGTTCTACTCACGCTACAGCAGTCCCTCAGTAGGCTGATTCAAACTGGCCTCTCAGCTGGGCTGGGGGAGCCCCTGATCTTCACCTCTGTGGTGTTCTTTGTTTCATGGTTCTAGAGCAGTGAGACTTGACCCGCAATGGCTTAGAAGTTTTTATGCCAACCACTGTTTTCATCTTATTTGCTGTTCCTAGAATGCAGCTGGGAGTCCAGGGCACTGTATCCTCCAGTTCCAGGTCTCCATCACTGAGCTAGGTTATACATTCCTGACTCTCTTTCTCTTTGGGTGGGTTCTTTCCTAGGAGACCTATTGGTAATAATATGCTGGGTGCAGGCACTGGGCGTTGCCTCTTGATCTTACAGAAACCTTGCAATAACCTTACAAAGTCGATAGAAGAAGGAGGCACTAGGCTGGGAATCAGGAAGCCTGGAAGCCCTTCGATGGCTTTCCAGTTGTTGTTCTTTTTATTTTAATATATTACTTTTGTCAATTGAAATCATTCAAGAAGCCCAGCATGTAAAAAAAAAAATATGACTGGAGCTGCTCTGGATGCAAACAGGGTCAATGTGAGGATGCCTACAACTCAGCCACCCTTTTCCTGGGCAGCTGGGCCCTGAGTTTTTTCTGGGGAAGGATGGCCAAAACAGCTCCCAGAGCACCCAGTCTCACCCAGAACACAGGGGAGCTCCCAGGTACATCAGAGGGTACATTTCCCACCCAGAAGGGATGCAAGTTCATTTTCACACAGGCCAGCAAGAAACCCAGTTTTATCTGGTGGTGATTTACTCTTTCTGTCTCTCCCTGGCCACTTCTCTTGAGCTGAGTCTCCAGCCTCTGTGTGTTTAATATCTTACTCATCCCCCACCTCGCCTCTAGCTCCTTTAGCTGACACTCTTTCATCCTGGCAGGTGATCGCCACAAGCCTTTAAGGGGTGGTAAAATGACCTGGGGAAATAATCAGAGGCGCCAAGGCTGCTTTAGGTGATGTTTGTTGGGTTTCACCCCCATTCCCTCAGAGCTTCAGGTTTTCCATTCAAGCTCATGAATGCCACACCCAGGCATTCCAGCTGAGCTCTCCATAGCTGAGCCAGAGTTTGTAGACAACTGGAGAAAAAAATGTGCTGAAGAAGCAGGACTTCGATGCTGTCATCCTGTTGGGACTCACCCCAGTAGCCTCAGCCAGCTCTAGCTTTAGCGGGTGCTGAGATGGTCTGCCCTGAGCAGTGAAAAATGCCGGGGGAGTGAGCAACAATGAAAGCCTGCATCCTTTCTCTCACTCCATTCTGGAGTTGAGAATGACTGCAGAGTGAGCAACCATCCAGGATACAGGATATACTTGTCAAAGTGAGAAAGGTACCTACAAGCCATTTGGAATGACTCATGGGATTCCTACCTGATAAAGGAATGTCTCAGCCCTTCCTGGATCTGTGTTAGGGGATGCTTAACTCTAGAAAACCCTTCTCAAATGCCACAGGTGGCAAACTCCAGGCTGTGTATGTTTTCCAAGTAGGGAAACACAAGGTTACAGAAGGCGAGCTGCATTCTTAAATGATACTGAGACACATTTTCAAGTGCAGACTCTGGATTAAAATGGTATTAAATTAAATAAGCAGGAGGCTGTTTGCTTGAGGCTGGGTCCATACTTTGAGTCTCTAATTAACAAACCCGAAACCTAGCTTAGTAAGTAAATAAATTGGAAATTGAATAGGAGCATAACAGTGGAGTCTCAGCCAATCACAAGCAGCCATGCTTTAGCCAATCACAGACAGCTGACTGATTAGACCATACCCAAATAAGGCAAAGGCTGAGATATAACCAGTTGAGCTCTCTCTCTGTCCTTTACTTCCTGTTCTGGTTATAAATACTGCCTGCACTGCAGAGTGAAGCTCTCTGAGCCTCTTCTAGTTCCAAGTGCTGCCCAATTCATGAATCATTCTTTGCTTTCAAAAACTCTGTGAAATTTAATTTGTCAAAAGCTTTGCTTTTAAAAATGGCTGTTGACTCTGGGGAGACTGTTCTTAAAGTGTGGCCACTTGTCTGCTCTTCCTGAAACTCCATGATTAATGATTCTTTTTATGGCCCCTCCCTGGCTGGAAGCTCTGGGCCCTTGATGAGTAACCATAAGTCACATTTCCATAGCAGTTTGTAGTTCCAGAAGTACTTTCTTATATTAATTATACAGTGTAGATAATGGAAATCACTTTAGTAGTTTAAGCAGAAAAGGACTAATATAAAGAATTAGGTACTTACAACGTGGCTGGAAGGGCTGGACAAGCAGGCTTCAGGATGGGCCTCCAGGATTATTCCCCCAGCTGTGTTCCAGAACTGGCTGCAGGGTTCTTTGAACTGGCTGTACCATAGGCCATGCTCTAAGTTGAACCATGGTGACCCCCATGACCTACATGTATACCTCTGGATGGCCTCCTGGAATTAGAGACTCTGAAATTACTGAAAGACCACGAAAAGGGGAAGAATGAGCAACCCCTGTGGCATCCAATTAACTCAAGAGATTCTTCTATTGTTTCTTATTCTGGCTTCAATTGATAAGGCAACTGGACTTTGCAACTGACCTTGGTCAACCTCATGACTCCAGACCCTATGGACCCCTCCCAGCTTGCAAAAACCACCCTAAACTGTAATTTCTGTAACTTTCCACCACCTGCCCCAAACCTATAAAACCAACTCCTGGCCGGGCACGGTGGCTCATGCCTATAATCCCAGCACTTTGGGAGGCTGAGGCGGGTGGATCACGAGGTCAAGAGATTGAGACCATCCTGGTCAACATGGTGAAACCCCATCTCTATTAAAAATACAAAAAATTAGCTGGGCATGGTGGTGCGCGCCTGTCGTCCCAGCTACTCTGGAGGCTGAGGCAGGAGAATTGCTTGAACCCAGAAGGCAGAGGTTGTGGTGAGCCGAGATCGTGCCATTGCACTCCAGTCTGGGTAACAACAGCGAAACTCCGTCTCAAAAGACAAACAAAAAAAACCAAACCAACTCCCACTCCACGCCCTGCCCTCTGCTGACTCGATTTTCAGACTCAGTCCACCTGTAGCCAGGTGAATAAACAGCCATGTTGCTCACACAAAGCCTGTTTGTTGGGGAGGTCTCTTCATTCAGAGCACACGTTTTAACACTGGCCTGCCATGACAGCCACAGTCAGGAAGACACTGCCAGATATGTTGGGTCCAAGAATACATTACCTGTGTTTCAAGTTGTAGATCAGTGCTGTGGGCTCCATAGCCATGTGACTGCAGCTCTGATCTGTACCAGCAGAATTCATACCTCATGCCTGCCCCTCTCCCTTCTCAGCTATCTACATTTCAGCCCTGTTCAAGGACTTTTGATTGGTAGAACCCAAATCACACTAGGAGGCGTAGTTGCAAGGGAGTCTGGAAACTGTAGGTTTTAGCTTGCTAGTCTCTTCAGTACAGGAAGGTACACTAGAAAGTTGGAATAGACATACATTCTGCATCTTCCATCCCATAGATACCTCACTTAATATTTGCAGAAAACCTAGAAAGCGATAGGAGAGGTGTTAGCCTCATTCAGCACGGAAGAAAAGAGAGGAGTGATGAGGCTAGAAGAGAATGGAGGGGAGACAGACCCGGGACTTGCTTTGAGCAAGTGATATTTGTGTTGGGGCTGAAGAGTGTCGCGGGTTAAACTAGCTGAAGGGCTGAGCAGGAGCAATATTCTAGGCAGGAGAAATAGCATGCCTAAAAGTCCTGAGGCTAGAGGGAATGTGATACAGCCACGGAACTGAAAGAAAAAGGGGCCATGACTGTAGAGGGGAAGTAGTGGCTGCAAAATGAGGCTAGAGAAGCACCAGAAAGAAAAACAAGCCCTGCAGGCCCCACTAAGAATTTGGTCTTTTTTCTAGAGCAATGGGAAGGCAGTCAATGGTTTATGGATGGGGGAGGTGTGTGTGGGACTTGATCATGTTTGCACTACAGGGTCACTGGCTGTTCTGTGTCTCCTGACTCCATGACTGTACTCACCAGAGTCCACAATTTGACACCAAGTGGTCACTCTCCTGTATTACTAAAGTGGTTTCATTTTTGCATCATTCCTACATCTTCACTCCAAGCAACAAGAGAAAAAACAGCAGCAAGAGGAGGTCCACGAATCTGGGAAGGTATAAACAGGGCTTTTTGCATTTGTATAAATAAAAGCCTCTGAAGGAAACCTTTAATTTCCTTTGTAGCTGCTTTGGAATGTTAGTGAGGGCATTTGGTGTGAGCTGTTGGAAAATGCTTCTGCGTATTGTTCTGTGGGGTGGAGATCAACGAGGTATGGAAATGAATCAGCAAGCAGGGCCTCTGATGGTGCTTCTGGTCCTCCAGAAATGGTTGGTTGCTGGGCTGCCTGGGCTCCCCACCGTGAGGGACATGTGCTGTTTCAGCTTGGTGGAGGAGTCTCTCCTCTTGTCAGTCAGCCACTTAGGGGCTTGGGGACATATGGTTGAGACCTGTTTCAAAGAGATAAAAAATTAGAAATTTAAAAAAATTGTCAGATATACAACTGTACTCCAGAAAGTTTGCACCTTTTTAAAGGAACCTGCCCCTGAGAGTCTTAGGACTCTGCTTCGTCCTGAAGCTAGCCAACTCTGCTAGCAACTTCTTAACCAAGTATAAATGCGATGTCCGGCACACAGTTTCACCTAGCCGGAGACCTGGGCTCTGAGTCCTGGTTTCCTGACCACGCTGTGAGTGCCTTGAGGGAAGGGCTCACTCCGTTTCTGTCTTCATATTCCTTAAAAATCCAGGTCAGTGGGTTCATAGTCTGAGCTCAGAATATTCACTAATCTCGAGAGTTGGCTTTCTGTGATCATGGTTGCCACCGGATGGGGTGTCCATGGACTCCAGGCTAAGGACTTTGCTTGGGCTAAATTCCCAACAGTGCTGCTCAGCAGTGGACCTCTTTCTGATTCTCTCGAGCCTATACAATGGGGGGTTGTCCACACTGGCCCTGAGAGCAGTGGACAGGCACAGGAAGTATGCTTTGTGAGGTCACCCCTGGGGACAGTGAGTGGAAGCAGCTGTATTTCTCATAGGCCCCCAGCCTCCCGCTTCCTGCTGAGGTGCACAGAGCTGGAGCTGGTCTGCGCATGCGCTTGGAGGCATGGTATTAACAGCATAAATGCCGGCCAACTACACCAGTGCCCAGCACCCAGCATTCTCCTCGCTACTCTTTCATTGGTTTCCCAGGAAAGCTGCTAATGGCGGGAACCCCACATGCACAATTTGGCTCATAAGTGGGCTGCCTTTCATAGCCATCACTACCCACCTGGGGAGAGCAGGGAATTGTGGCACACGGGAGCTCTTTGTATGAGCAAGCAAGGTGTGTTGGGTTTGGTGCTCCAAGACAAACTTCTTTGCTCAATTGAAACGGCTCCTGGTCATCTCTGCTTCTCCATCTATAGCTGCCCCATGAGACGATAAACTCCAGATAGTCCTTTCTATTTATATTTAGAGAATTCTAAAAGAAATATACAAGAAGCTAAAGGAGTAACCATGTTTGTTCTTAGAAAAAGAGATAACAATGAAAATTTTAAATCCTTAAATGATTAATGAAATAAAACATTACAGATAGGTAGAGCAGTCAAATTCAAAGAAACAGCAAGTAGAATAGTGGAGAGGGGAATGGGGAACTATTATTTAATGAGTATGAACTTTGAGTCTGGGAAGATCAAAAACTTCTGAAGATAGATAGTGGTGATGTTTGCACAGCAGTGTGAATGGACTTAATGCTACTGAACTGTACACTTAAAAGTGGTTAGTAAATTGTATTTTGTGTATATTTTGCTACAATAAAAAAAGTTTTAATTTGAACAGAGCTTATCTCAATGAGGAGACACTAAACTTGTTGACTTTTATCTCGGGTGCTCCTGCGTATGTGTATTTATATTAAAAGTGACCAGTTTCCTGAAAACACAGCACCCATTCCTGGCCAACAGGCTCTTTTCCTGTGCTTTTGTGCATTCTGAAGCTGTCTCCATAGTGTGTTGGTAAGGAAGTGGGTGACTGGGTGACTCATGGCGCCTGTATGACAGACCCTTGAGTCTCTCACACATACACACACACACACACACACACACACACACATGTGAGTCACCCCTACAGGCTTCCAAGACGGGCAGCGATTTAGATGTCAGAGTGATGTGCCTGGGGCATGGCAGGAGGCAGCCTGGGGCCCATTGCCGGGCACATCCCTGAGGTGCCTCTCCTATGATTTAGTAATAAAAGGAATCTGCGGCTGCGGCCCCCAACTCCAGGCCCATCAATAGTTTTTTTCTGGCTTTTCTGCCGCCTCCCGAATGGTGGCAGGTGGGAAGTGCAGTTGGTACTGGAAATGCCCCGTGGCCCCTGGGCTGCTGTGAGTGGTACCTGTTTCAGGGGCCTCTCCATACCCCGGTGATGCGAGTGGCGCTGGGTGTGGGCCTTTGAATCTGCTGGTGGCAAGAGCAGATCAATCACAGGGCTGGTCTTGCATCTTCCTGGGGGTCATGAATCAGGTTGGGAGCCACTCAGCTATATGAACAAATGGAAGACTGATCTAGACCTTAGGAGACCTGGTTTAGACTTTAATCTGCTGCTAGCTTGTTTTGTTATCGTTGTAAATCACATAAACTCTCTGGCCTTGGGTTTCTTGTCTTTAAAGTGAGGGAGCTGGGTTAGATCCAGATTGGCCGGCACACAGCTCCTGCTCCATCCACCCCTCCAGTTCCTGAGGTGACAGTGCTCATTGTCCTCTGAGCCCACACGGCAGCTCCTGGTCCTTCTTAGATGACCTTCTCTTACTACTCTCAATTAATTGGAGTTAGTATCTGAAATGACACCTATTTACCATCTTAAAAGCTGGTATGTTTGTTCTCAACTTTGCCTATAAATTAGAATCACCGAAGAGCTTTTACCACATACAGGTGTCTGAATCCTACCCATATGGATTCTGATTTAATTGTTCTGGGATGAGACCCAGGCATTGATACATTTTAAAAGCTGTCTAGGTGACTCCAATTGTGTAGCTGGGAATGAGGGCCACTGGATGAGATGATCACTATAGGGGCCTAATAATCACTTTGTAATCAGCTGTTGGCATGAAGATGGCAGGAATGATTGGGCTGGTTGAGCCAAGTTCTGCTGGCCAAGAACATTAGATAGAAGATCAGGAGACCTGGTTCTCATTTCTAGTTTGCATTCCTAATTTGCTTGTGATTTGGGGTGAGTTATTTACTCTTTTTAGCTTTAGTTCCCACATGTATAACCTGGGAGTAATAATCTCTTGAGCCTCCGACCTCACCATATTCTCAGTAGAAAGAAAGAAATGGTAATAGATGTATAAAAGTGCTACAGAAAGTGCTTAATAAATTATTCCATTTTTTATAACACACATACCCCCAAATACTCTTAAAATTTGAAATAAAATTGTGAATGCATCCTTTGTGAGGATTTATGAAGATTCAGTGAGGTGGCATATACAACAGTCCCTAGCACAATGCCTGGTAGGTGTGCGAGCAATGCTTGTTTGAATGAATGTTTTGATGGAGGTTACTGAAACAATAAATCACAAAAAGAGTTTTGTGTGCCTTCAAAGGAAGGGGAAGCTCATTTCTGTGGCTGTTTTGTTAGAACTGTTCCTTTGAGTTTTCTAAAGTAAAAAAATTATGCATATAATGCCTGAATGAAATATTCTCATAAAATATTCAGGCTGGGGACAGTGGATCAAGCCTATAGTCCCAGCACTTTGGGAGGCTGAGGCAGGCAGATCTCCTGAGCTCAGGAGTTCAAGACCAGCCTGAGCAACATGGCCAAACCCTGTTTCTACAAAAAAGACAAAAAATTAGCTGGGTGTGATAGTGCATGCCTGTGGTCCCAGCTACTCGGGAGGCTGGGGTGGAAGGATTGCTTGAGTTGCCCAGGAAGTGGAGATTGCAGTGAGCCATGATTGCACTACTGCACTCCTGCCTGGGCAACAGAGTGAGACCGTGTGTCAAAAAAATAAATAAAAAGAACAAAATTTGAAAGTCCTCTTAACCTCTTCCACCCTACCACTCCTCTTTCCAGAAAAAGTCACTGATGGTGATTGAAGTGTATCTGTTCAAGCTCTATATATTTATAATACACATACACCCACACATATACCCATATTAAATTTTTTTCAAGTAGAAATGGGATCATATATGTCATTCTGCAATTTGCTTAACAATATGCTTTAGGGATCTTTCCATGATACCTGCAAGTTACTTAACCCTTCATCCCTTAATTTCCTTATCTCTAAATGCGATAATAATGTAAGATCATTATAAGGATTGTATTAGTTAATATTTGTAAAGTGCTTAAAATAGTGCCTACAATTAGTCCATAGTTAAGCTCACAATAATTCTTATAGAAATTTTCTTCCCCTAATAAATAAATGTCTATTAGATAACAATCTCAAAAATAAAAATTTCTGTATTTTCATTTATACTGGACTTAGATCTGATTGTAAAAAATATACTAACCCCCATCAAGTCAAAATTTGGTAAAGAGGTTGTTTTGAAAGCAGGTAGATGCATTACTGACCTTTCATATTTCACGTAATGAATGATGGACCCAAGAGCAACCTTAGAGACCTTCATTCAACTTCTGCAGCTTGGTCTCTCTGCCAGAAAGTGAGGTGTAATATTACCCATTAGGCAAGAGGTGCCAGGGGGAACTGGACTCAAAGTGGTGACCAGCTCATGGTGCGCAGCCAATGTTGCCCCGAAGCATTGGCCTGCACAGCTGAGGGGCATAAGGTTGTGACCTTGCTCCAACCTCTCTCAGGGTTTTCTGAGGGAAGGTACAAAAGATGTGAAAGTGTTGGCATTTTGCCTCTAGGAAGAATTTTGATTAAGGATAAACATATTCCAAGATGCTGTGAAGCTGAAGTCACATGAATGCTAAGTGATTTCTTGGCATCAGAAATCAATCTCTTTCATGTCAGTCCTAAAAAAACAAACACTTTTACCTTCTTTGGTACCAGGAATAGCCAGAGAGGCTTCAGCTATTACAGCAAAAGCTTTTAAAATAATTACTTCTAGAATACGATAATATTAATGATTAGCTTTGTGTGAAAATTGAAGAGATAAGTAGTTAAATACTAGGAATAATAAAT